TCCCTTTTCCCCCCTCCTCCCCCCCCCTCTCCCCTCCCCCCCACTCCTCTCCCCCTCCCTCTCCAGACTGAGGGGCAGTCAGGGTTCCGTGCCCTGTGGAAAGTCCAAAGTCCTCCCCGCTCCATCCTGGTCTAGGAAGGTGGACATCCAAACTGGCTAGGCTCCCATAAAGCCAGATCATATAAAATATCTATTACAGCTATGGCAACTCCAACCCCAATAAGATTCTAGGAAATATTGGAATGGAAGAAAATAATGATTAATATAGAGAATATTGAATAACTATGAATAGCAGTATGATATTAGTTCAAGAATAATTATTAGGCAATTAAATAAGAGGACTTTCCACTAAAAAAAAAAAAAGTAGCTGACATTATCAACTGAAAGAGCAAGGAGTTGTGTTATTTTACCCTTCGGAGATTTTTGTCTTGATTAATTAGAAATATTGCTTTGAAGTGTATGGTGGTTTGAAAGAAAATGGCCCCCAAAGTGCATGGCACTATTAGAAAGGGTGACCTTGTTGGAGGACGTGGCAATGCGGGGCAGGCTTTGAGGTCCCTTTGCTCAAACTTTACTCAGCATTACAGTCAGTTGATTTCCTGTTGCACTTAAGAGGCAGGACTCTCATCTGTTCCTCTAGTACCACATTTACCTGCACGCAGCCATGCTCCCTTCCATGAAGAAAATGGACTGAAAAGCTGAAACTGTAAGTGAGCCCCCTCAATTAAATGTCTTCCTTATAAAAGTTGCCCAGGTCATGGTGTCTTTTCGTAGCAATAAAAAATCTAAACTATGACAAGGTGTGAGCCACTACGGTAGCTAATTTCCATAGCAGACCCTGATATCCATGAATCAGAAGAGAAGAAAGGGGTGGAATCCTATGATCATACTTCTTTAGTTGAGAATATATCTGTATCTCAGACTGCTCTAGGATCCAAACTCCTTTTCTTCTTTAATAACATTATGAAACTACAACAATAGATGAGGAACTATCAATATACATTTTTAACTCAAATGGATGATGAAATATGTCTCCCATCATTGTGAATTTTTTTCTGTGGTTTTATCAGGGATCATTAACTTTTCTAGCTCATGAGGATATTTACTTAATCTGCATTTAAGTAAACTAATTCAATTCTAACCCAAATTATCTGTTCACAAATCTGTTTTTCTCATCAAACTGCTTATGTTATAATAAAGAAATTTTAATCTCACTATAAAATGCTTACTTTAATGGAAAAACAATTTTGTTTTTATCTAATAAAGTTAAAAGAACATCAGAAAATTTTATAATTGTGGAGAAAACCCAGTCTAATAATTCATATTTTATACATTTATTTCTGAATATAGATAATATGCAAATGTGAATTTTGCGTAGGCCACCAGTCATCAAACAGTACATTAAGTAGGAGCATCAATCTCAATGATAAATTTTATATTGACCAGGAGAAAACTAAATAGAAAAAAAGATTTGTTTAATTCTGTGTCCCCTTTATTAAAAATTATGGATATTCACAATTTTTATAATTTTTCACTGTTCAAATAATTATCCATATCATTTATTTGGAGGTAGTTGTCCATATTTATCCTTAATATTTTTAAAAAACTGTTTTGATAGTTTTCTTATTGAGTTTTTATTAGAAACATGTTGACTTCCCAGGGGATGACATGATGATAGTGCTTGGTTTTCATTGCAGAAATGTACACTTCCTGCAGCTCACTGTTTAAATTGTGTGAATGTACTTTCTGAAAGGAGGGAGTATGTTGGTGGAGAATTGGGACAGAATCTCTAGGATGGCGGCAGTATTTGTAACATCAGCTCCTACTATACAATGTTTTTGTCATGTAAATATACTTTATGTGCTTCTTGAGCATTTAAACATGATGGCAGAACTGGCTGTGTCCCCTGGTGCTCTTTGTGAAGTGAAGTGTAACAGTCCTTGTACTATCTTCCTTTTTTTTTTTCCTGTTATCTTTGATGACAGCATTTGATAGCACTTCTGGTTTTAACAGTTCCCCTGAAGTAAGGCTGAATGGGTCTGATGTCTTTCCAATAATGCACAGAGCAGTTCTATGTGAACTTTACTTTATTAACCCCAAAGGTCTCCCCATTTCTTTAGTTCTCCCAAACTGTATCCAACTCTCAGAATTCAGCAAAATTGACAGAGCATGATCCTGCACAATACATTTCTTTGTAAAATCCATTTAAAAGCCTAAGCACTTAAGGAAAATCAATAGGGCTAGATGTGGTTTCATGGCTTTCAGACTCTTGAACACTGAATTCAGCCTGATCCATTGTTATTAGGTATCTGCAGTTGTAGTTCAGTCACCTAGAAAGGTGAGTGTTTTGGCCTGTAATCTGCTATGGATGGAAACTCACTGACAAGTTTATCAATTTTAAAGGTATATTTTTGTAAATTAATAAGCAATACCTGATGAATCTTATATTTTCCACAGATGCAATATCCAAAGACATTGTGAGTCTTCCTAACTCACATGTGTATTAACAGGAATTCCAGGGAAACTTCTTAGGAATTTATATAGAAATAAATGGGTTTATTAAAAGTCTTGACAATGCTGCTGGGTGTTTCAGAATGACTCACATTTTCAGGGAAGGTTAGCAGACAGAAGACTCGGGACTTGCTTTATGTTCCTCTCCACATCTGAGACAGTCTGCTGCGGTCAGAAAGAGGATCTGGTGATACCTATGAAGTTCAATAGCAGGAGAGTGTTCTGCTCTAGAATTATTTTATATGGATGTATCCATTCTTTTTATTTCCCATTCATACTGTCAACACATTGGATAGGCTCCTGTCCAATAGAAGACAACTGCTTACTCTAAGCTACTGCTTTGGTTGTTACTCCAGTACAAAACACATGATTCACAGATACTTGAAATGAAATATGTGCAAATAGCCAACCACTCCATGCTTTTTTGACAAATTTGAATATGATTAACTATTAATAAGACCAATTTTAGATGTGAGCATATTTTAAGGAACCTAGGTAATATATGATAAATGTATAATGTGCTCATTCATTATATCGAAAACTGGGGACTCTATTACAGAGAAAATCAAATTGCTCCCTTTTCATTTCAGAGTTTAATAGACAAAACATTTCATCCTGATCAGTACTGAAGTCTTTTGGGATGGGACAAAATAGTTGTCTCATCCAAATACATTTGTTTTCAGGCACTGTTGTCAAGATTCCTGTAAACACCTAGTACTCTAATAGGAAATAAAGGTGTGCTTTTGACTCTACCATGATAGACACATATATAGACTACATTCATAGAATGGTTTCTTTTCAGGAAATTGTAGAACAGAAAGTCAATATTATATATTATTTACAATCATAAGAAATGTAACAACAATCTGGCGTCACCAAAAGCACTGTTAGGGTTCCATCAAATTTAAGTTAAGTAATTGGCACTTCCTGTATTTATGTCTATACTATTGCCTAAGACACTGTTCTGGACCTTCCTATTGGCTTTGAAACTTAATTAGAAAAGTGCTTATTGGGTGTTATAATATGTTGTATAACTTTGCAATATATTCCAAAATACTTATGGACTTGTACTGATCAGAAATGGAAGACAAATAATAGATTATGGTTACTTAATCAATTAATTAAAATAATCTCAGAAAGCAATGCACGTATATATTAAAATATACTTTGCAAACTTAGTTACACTAGAATCACAGTCAATATTTATAAGAGAAAATATAACAAATATCACTAACTCTATATTTACTTTTCAAAATCTAAGGACAAACAAAAATGAACAGCCAATCCTTTAGCTTCGTATTCATTACTTCTGGTCTAATTTTTTTAAAAAAAAAAAACTTCTAAACAGGAAAATTTCAAAGGATTTAAATATTTTTGTTCCACATTTATGTTTGGTTAAGATTTACCAGAAAAGGAGTCAATAACAGAAACTCTGAGTTTGATAGGAGAGATATAAAACAACATAGTAATCAGGGAAAGTATTATACTAACATATAATTCTCTGTTGTTGCAAATAGGCTCTTCTCCATTATAAACTATATTAGGAGTTCCCATACTAGTCTACGAAATTTGCATGTACAGAATGTACATGCCAAATTATTTATTTGCTTGATTTTATTGAAAAATAAAGTAAAATTCTTCTGGGTAAACAAAGGAGAAAATAGGTGACATGTTAAAGTGTATCACACTGAAGTTTGATATCCTAACATTATTGTAAAAGACAGACTGTGTTATAGCAATTAAATCCCTAGATTCTTCTTAGGCAATTTGATTAAACACAATTAGAGAACATGCTTCTTTTTGAGTTCACACTTGAGTCTTTTTTTATATCAAAGTGTTTGCCTATTGCATACACTAAGCCTGCTGTGTTAAAAGTCAAATAAAAAAATAATATGTATTTTATTTCTAAAATATGTACCTGCCCTTTTGACTCTATAAACATACTTTAAAAATTAAAGCCTTATCTATTAATTATGTTATTTTGCTAAAAATATACAAAAAATGTTCTCTACACTAAAGAGAACTCAAAAAATTAAACAGTTTTGTTGTTAATATTTAATATTTTTATATTAAAAATAATAATTTGAAACCTATATATTTGTGGAGTTTTATTGTCATTATATATACTGTAAATGTAAATTGTGTACAGTTGCAAAAATTCAAACCAAGCTTGCAGCACGAAGAAAAGTCTTTTGAGGATAAGGTTGTTTTTTTTTTTTTTTATTTCCTGATGTGGGAGTGTCATATATCAATCTGTTGATTTCATTGGTTAAGTTATAATAAACCAACTGCTTGGCCTCAGCTTGGAACATAGATGGGAGGAGTAAACAGAATAGAATTCTGGGCGGAAGAGGAAGTGAGGTCAGACTCTGCTCTGCTCCCAGAGAGACCCGACAGCTCTGCTGGAGCAGAGACGCCATGCTCAGCTCTCCCAGGCAACTCCAACCCACGATGGACTTAGGCTAGAATCTTCCCGGTAAGCGCACCTTGGCGTGCTTACACAGATGATTAGAAATGGGCTAAATTAATATGTGAGAATTAGCCTAGAAGAGGCTAGATAGAAATGGGCTAGTCCAGGTGCAAGAATTAGTTAGAGTTCATGGGCCAAGCAGTTCTTTAAATGAATACAGTTTGTGTGTTGTTATTTCGGGCGTGAGCTAGCCAAGCGGCTGGGGTGTTGGGGACGCAGCCCCGCCGCCGCTCCTATTTCAACAGATGGCGCCCAGACGTGTGGCTAACTGAATCCACAAAAAGCCTGAGAAAGCTGGGGAAAGAATGGAATGAAGCATGTTTTCTTGGTAGCAACAAATTTCTTGGGTCTACTCTGCTTGCTAGAGGCAAGCAAGCGCTCTCATCTAAGAGAGGCTTCCTGACTCAGCTTCAGCTGCAAAACCCTGCAGCTCATTAAGAGTTCCTGCCAGGAAACACTTAAACGGTGTTGGTGAAAAGCTGAACGCATGCTTTTTGGTTTTCAGCCGTAGCAGGAAAAAAGTTGTGCTGTTTAAAAATGCCGGCTTTCTGGGCCGTCCTGCCAGGGCAAACTCTGACTGAGGCAGGAGGTCCAGCTACAGAGAGAGGACTTGACTGTTGTCTGTTGTAGCTCGCTTGCTGGCAGGGACCTTGAAACGCCATAGAATTGTGCCTATAAACGCGGCTACAGCCTGTATCTCCGCCATGAGGCTGGAAAGCTAAGGAATGGACTGGATCTAGCTGGCAAAGCCACGGCTTTAATCCTACTCATATTGCTCAGTAATTTAAAGGCTCCTGTGGTCAGAAAAACAGAGAGAGATACAGTAAAGAGATTCAAAGATAAAGAAAATGTTTAAATGATTTACAGTGTGTTAAAAATATATGCAAGCTAAAAGTTAAAAGTTCTTAAAAAAAAGTAAGAAAAAGAGAAGTTGTGTGTGGTAGTACACGCCTTTAATCCCAGTGCCTAGAAGGCAGAGACAAACAGATCTCTGTGAGTTCAAGGTGTGGTAGCAAACACCTTTAATCCCAATGCCTGGGAGGCAGAGACAGGCAGATCTCTGAGAGTTCAAGGACAGCCTGGTCTACAGAGTTATTCCAGGACAGAGATACAGAGAATATAAAATGAAAGTAAAAATAAACTTAATAGAGGTTAAAATAAAGCTCACAAAGATGGAAAATACACAGAGAATCTTGATACTGTATGCTATTATGCTCTCTTTGAATTGTTTGAATGCTGAGGAAGGAGCAACAGATGCTAAAAGATATTTGTTTATAAATGCTGCTGAACTAATCCAACGTAGAGATTTTAATGCCTTGGCTTTGATATTTGGATCTAAGGACGTGATGCTTTCAAAAGGAGTTTCTTATTTTGTTTTCACAGAGGATGAGACCCTGTTCATTTCTTCTATTCCGATATGGTATGATGGACCACGCCCTCCTGAACGGTTGCTGTGAATACCTTCAAAAAATTGCTTCGCTCAACTTCCAACTGAGATGAAACTAGCACACAGGTTATACCACAAAAGACCTAATTAACAGCGCCCCCATTCAGCAGGAAGCAGTTTGGAGAGAAAAAACTACGCCCATGTTCCCAAATATTGTTTACAAATGTTCTTTTACATTTAAAGGGGGATATGATATAGATATGAATAATTTGCATTGGTATGGATTTTAAGGTCAATTTTGTTATATGCATTTTTGATCTTGATTAAGGTATTGTGTTGTGTAGTTCATTTTAAAATGTAATGTATAATTAGGAAATATAAGTTGTTAATGAATAATCATTAATAATAGTTAAGTTTGTAGTCATGTTAGTTAAGATTTTCTAGATGTGCATACATATATTTTAGATAGGCATTCTTCATATTTTTCAAAGATTATAGAATATGGCATTTTAAATGTTTTAATAACTTAGGACTTCTCATGACAATGAGACACTCTGCTCCTGGCATCACCAATCTACTTCAAGAGGAAGATGGGCATCGAAGAGGATCCTTATGGAGTTTGATAGCCATTTGGCAAGAAACTGCTCTTGCCTGGACTATTGCATAAACTGGACACAGAGAACCCGCAGAGAGAGGACTGCTGAACTTGCCTAAAGGTGAGATGATCTTTCGGGGTTCCTGCTTCATGAAAGAGTCTGCAAGACATTCTTCAGGACAAGCAGATAGTGACTGCCTTTGAAATTTCCTGCATTGTGGAAATGTCTGCTGGAAACTATGGGCCTGTAGGCCGAAGATGGATGCCCCAACGGTACAGAGGAACTTTGGGTGACTGTCCAGGCAGCGAGATGTCTCTGTCATTTCTAGAGCTTTGGATGTTAAGTTAAAGCCTTCTTTTTTTTTTTTTTTTTTTTAAACAGAAAAAGGGGAAGTGATGTGGGAGTGTCATATATCAATCTGTTGATTTCATTGGTTAAGTTATAATAAACCAACTGCTTGGCCTCAGCTTGGAACATAGATGGGAGGAGTAAACAGAATAGAATTCTGGGCGGAAGAGGAAGTGAGGTCAGACTCTGCTCTGCTCCCAGAGAGACCCGACAGCTCTGCTGGAGCAGAGACGCCATGCTCAGCTCTCCCAGGCAACTCCAACCCACGATGGACTTAGGCTAGAATCTTCCCGGTAAGCGCACCTTGGCGTGCTTACACAGATGATTAGAAATGGGCTAAATTAATATGTGAGAATTAGCCTAGAAGAGGCTAGATAGAAATGGGCTAGTCCAGGTGCAAGAATTAGTTAGAGTTCATGGGCCAAGCAGTTCTTTAAATGAATACAGTTTGTGTGTTGTTATTTCGGGCGTGAGCTAGCCAAGCGGCTGGGGTGTTGGGGACGCAGCCCCGCCGCCGCTCCTATTTCAACAATTTCCCTACAAATATTTTAAGCTATAGTTATGTCAGCTCTCTATTATACTACTTAGGAATGTCTTGGCTTTGAAAAATGACAAAATTTTTTATCCAGTCCCAAAACTTGGAAAGAAAATTAAGTCAAATGCTCACAAGTGTCAGTTTGAAAGCATATTTTCCATGGTAACTCCACTTCAAAAGCCTGTAGCTGCAGATCTTTACCAATTAGCAACTCTAACGGGTACTATTTGTTTCTTCAAAAACATCAGGGACCTGCTTTTCATCTATGATTGCTATTCCTCGTTGACAGAAAGCCATCTTAAAAGATGGAATACACAATGACATACCATTTAGTTCTTACTTAGAATCATGTAACTGGTTCATAAAGAGAACAATGCATATTACGGTGTAATGCATTCAATAAAGAATAACCACACTTCCTCACTAAATCATAAGCACTAGCCTATAAGTGTTTTCACTAAACAGGTTGTTCAGTAAAATCACCAAAATATAAATGCAATTAACATTGAAATTATGCATTCATCTTATAATGCCTGTCACTAAGCTGTGAGAAGGAAAATAAAGAACAGATGCATAATAACATGTTTTACAATAATGAAGAGAGCAAAAGAGATAAAGTAAAAATTCTTCTTCACAATAAAACATTATATTATATATATAATATTATATATATTGATTGATTGATTGGAATGAGACTATTACTTAATTTACAGTACATTTCCTTTCATATTTTGTTCTGAAAATTTACAAGATAGCATATGTTAACTGTATTACTGTATTTTAAAGAAATAAAGGACATTAAGCCTATAGTTCACAAGCCTAGAGAAGCCAAAGAACAAGATGAACCCAAAGATAAACATATATAGATCCTCCTGGAAATTGGACGCAAACAAGATTGCCGGGTGGGGGAGGGGGTGGGAGCATGGAGGTGGGGGGGTAACGGGAGAGGAGGAGAAAGAAGGGAGAAAGGAAAGACTGGAGAGAGCTTGGGGGAGTGGGAGGGTGAAGATGGAGGAAGGACAGATATAGAAGCAGGGAAGAAGATATCTACATTAAGGGAGCCATTTTAGGGTTGGCAAGAGACTTGGTTCTAGAGGAGATCCCAGGTGTCCACGGAGATGTCCCAAACTAGGTCCTTGGGCAGCAGAGCAGAGGGTGCCTGAACTGGCCTTGCCCCACTATCACACTGATGATTATCTCGAATATCACCATAGAATCTTTGACAGGTGACAGATGGAGATAGAGACAGAGACCCTCATCAGAGCAACGGACTGAGCTCCCAAGGTCCAGTTAAAGAGCAGAATGAGAGAGAAGATGAACAAGGAAGTCTTGACTGAGAGGAGTTGGTCCACCCACTGAGCCAGTGTGCCTGCCTGTTCTAATGGGAGCTCATCAAATGCAGCTGGACCAAGACTGACTGAGCGTGCGATCAAACCGGACTCTCTGATTATGGCTGACAATGGGGGCTGACTGAGAATCCATTGATAAAGGCACTGGGACTTGTTTCTACTGCAGGTACTGGCTTTTTGGGACCCTAGTCTATTTGGATGCAAAACTTTCTAGGCCTGGACATGGGGTGGGGAAGGGCTTGGACTTCCCACAGGGCAGGATTCCCTGCCCTTCTCTTAAGGAGGGAGGGGGAGGAAAGAGGGGGAGTGGGGGAGCGGGAGGGGAATGGAAGGAGGGGAGAAAGTGTAAATTTTTGAATGGAAAAAAATTAAAAATTGAGAAAATAAAAATAAGTATAATTTTATAATTACTAGTGTATTCTTATAAACTGTAAAAATGTTCCCTGAAAGTATAGCATTTGTAATTGTATATTTAAAGATGAATGTATAGTTCTTGAGCCAGACATATAGAAAATCTTCTTAAATAAAATCTAAAAGTAGATACTGAGGAGAGGGACTTAGTGACTAATTTGCAGACTGTCAAAGTGTAAGGATGTGAATTCAAACCTCCAAGGCCACATAAACAATAGCCAGGCACCATGGTTCTTGCCTGCAACCATAATATTGAAGGGACAGATTTTGGAGGCTCTTGGGCCAGCTAGAAGAGCTAAAACAGCGAATTCCATCTTCACAGAGATACCTTATCTCAAATGATAGTGTGGAAAGAAATGCACAAAGACCACAATCTGACTCGTGTGTGTGTGTAAAGTACTGATATGCATGTCTGCATGTATGTGTTGCACACGTGTACATGGTTGTGGATGCATGTCGTGGATGAGTTTTATTTCTGTTATCTTTCTCGTTCACTATCTACTTTGTTTACTGGGGCAAGTGTTCTCACTTTACCTGGATCTCACTGCATCAGTTTCTCTAACTAGCCATGTCCAAGCTAACCACTGTCTCCAGTTCCTGAGAACTGGCATCACAAAAGAGCTACCACTCCAATGAAGCTTTTCTAGGTTGTGCTGGGCGTCTCAACTGTGTTCCTTACACTAGAAAGACAAATGTTTTACCGTCTGAACTATCGTTGGGATGCTACTTTGATGATTTCCAGATTTGGTTACTGATTTTTTTAACACATAGGAAACCAGTAAATACCTAAATAAGACAAATTTGGTATTTTCTACCATTTGAAATCAATTGAAAATAGTGATTATTTTGGGGCACATTAAGCAAAAATATAATCTGAACTTATAACTAAATTCTATCTATTATTGAAGGAAAACCTCTGGAACACAGTATTTTTTCTTCCAGAAATCAGTCAAATTTGGTGTACACAGGCCAGACTTTCTAACTCTTTACTCATGGTTATGAATAGTTCTCTAGATACGAGAACCGATACTCCAGGTGCCTGAAATGAAATGTGAAGACAGGCAAAGGAGATCTTATAGAGGCAACAACAGTTTCTTGTAGTCCTGATCTATATTTCCATTGTACTCAAAAGTGTCTGGAATTAGTTTGTCTAAATTTGACCTGACATGGCAAGGTATTAGCAGTCCAGAGAACCACACTTCCTATCACTGTAAGAATACCCTAGGTTCTTTCTTGATTAGTCAGACAATCATTTCAAAAACGTTTCTCATCCTAGTTTTCTTTTGCTTAGGAGGCCTGTCTAAAACTCAATTGACTTGGAATCTTTGATAAATTAGTAAGTCTGTCTTTGTGTTTTTCTTTTCACTGTATCATACCCAAATGTACAGGAGAGTTTGTCAATTTCTATATTTCTATCAAATCTTATCTAGCTGCGGTCTCGTTGCTTCTTAGAAATCACAAGTGGCTTCTAAGAGCACATCTCAGCCCTGCACATCACTTTTATTACAGGGTTATGGTCTTTGTTTCAAGGTGAATTGCTTCAAATTCAAGCAGAAGTTTATCTAAAAAAATACCTCCATTGCAGTTACATGAGCCAAGGGGATTTGAGGTTTCATAAAGACCCATTAATACAAAGTATGTAGGACTATTCATTGTCAGAGAGTGAGAAATAAAATATCCCTTACTTTTCAAGTAAAAAGATAACTTTCTGTTTTGGACCTCATCTGTACTAAGTAGCTATGATTTCTCAGTCGGTTCTGGTCAATCTTTATTAAAAAAAACAATCCTTGTACTTCTCAGTACTTTCATCAGACTGAAGGAAAAGGTAAATTGCAGCAAAATTTTACCCACAATTTTAGCAATAGGAGAAACTTGTTTCCGTTAATCTTGAGAAAGAATTTAAAGCTGACCAATGCTCTAGGTACTTCTGCTCACACATAAGATTCTGCCTGGAAACTTTTGAATAAGATACTGTCAGACTTTCCTTCCACAAATTTAGACTTTAGCTGCTGTGCCTATGGCAAATTCCTCTATCTCTCACTTGTCTGTTTCACTCCACTGATCTCTTTGCTCTACTAAAAACTCCTACTTTTTCCATCTTCCTTCATTTCATTATTGATTCGTTTTTGAGGGTTTTTGCTTTTTTTAAGAATGCACAACTGAGAGATAGAAGTCCATGACCACTTACTTATAATAGGTAATATTCAAGAATCTATTATTAAAGAGATAATAATAATGTTAAAAGATAATAGTCAGTATGTAAGTGCTTCATTTTCTTGCTGTTAGAATGTCCAGTATACGCTAAACTCTACAAAGCTTCTCAGGGGTTTTTCTTGATCCATGTGTTAAGAACAGTTTACAAATCTATAAACTTGTAGATTTTATTGTATTTTTATTGTACTCTTCTTATTCTATAATGGTTTTGTTTTTCCTACTCCTTCCCACATATATTTTGGGATATCTTTTTAAAGTAACTTTTCTATACCACTCTTTGTCTTAAGTCTTATTCCAAAGTAGTTCCAATAATCAGTTTCCATCAATTGTGATAAATAGTTGTGTACCTATAGAAGACAAGTGCCCACAGGCACGAGAGGTGGACTCAAGGGTAAATATACTTGTCACTAAACTGGATTCCTGAATTTGATTCTCAGCAACCACATAGCAGAAAGAATGACTGACTCCTAAAATTTGTTCCCTGGCTTCCAAATGTGAAAAGTACTAGGCCTATATTCATGGACATGGAGAGAGAGAGAGAGAGAGAGAGAGAGAGAGAGAGAGAGAGAGAGAGAGAGGGAGGGAGGGGGGGAGGGGGGGAGGGAGGGAGGGAGGGAGGGAGGGAGAAAGAGAGAGAGAGAGAACTTTAAAGAGAGAAATGTAGAAATGTAAGTTTAAAATGAGAAAACAGAAACTTTGGATGGGATATGAGACAGTGATTACTTACTTCATGGGAAAATTGTCCAGTCCTACTTCTGGGAACAAAGCAGATAAGTAGAGAGATATTAAAGCTGAGATATCCATACATGGCTAAACTACCCAGCCTCTAGTAGACTAGAAAAAGCACTCCACTCTAATTCTTCTGTAGCATACATGCTTTTGGTTTGCTAAGGCTGGAAATTGTAATTAAGAGGCTTTGCAGAAAATAATTTT